TCAGATAAAGCGGTTGATAATTTACTATACAGTCCTGGGCCAAATTATTAGACACCCTATAAGATTCGATGTAAAATCTTAATTAACCGGTGTTACTGTACAGTTTTATTGTTTTAACTCGACTGAAACCGGTTTGCACTTGTTTACGTTCGGGTACCAATTGATTAAATTAGACGATATATAATAGATTTGTCGATTGAATAAATTAGACGATATATTATACAAATATGGAATATTTATTATATCAGGTATTATACTATTAAATTGTAATATTTAAATCAAATTATTAGACGCACTGTAGTTTTTTAATAATTACATGTTTTGCACGAGTTTATATCAATACTTTTATATTTATACATACATGTCATGGGTTTTTATTCAGGAGATTTTCTATATACTTCCTATTTGTATTTATTTTGAACGTATTGCGTTACAATGTTAACCAATTGATACACGAACGTTAATAAGTGCAAACCGGTTTACGCCACTTAAAAACGATAAAGCTGTATAATATCACTTGATAATTAAGATTTTACATAAAATCTTATAGTTCGTCTAATAATATAGCCAGAGACTGTATATTGAAACATACATTATTAGTATTTAACAAATGCAGTTAAGATGGCTATTACTATTTTAAAACAATATTTTATTTTCAATTTCACCAAAATAATTATCAAAGCGCATCGGTAAAAAATACAGCGACCTTTTTTATGTTACCATAGAGCCAGAAACACAGTAAATGTTAGCATATTCTTCTAGTTTTGACATTTTTTTCTCAGTTAAAAAAAACAAACTGCTCTTCAGTCTCATACTAAAAACTCGTAAAAAGTAATCTTAAACTTTTATTTCATGAAAAAATATCAAATGATAATTTTCGTCTCTCAGAAATATAAATCTAAGTTTAGGAGATATAAATTGTTATGATTTGTAGCAAGGAAGATGAATTAATCGAAAGCGTTGTATTTGAAATATATTAAGTAATTGTTACACTATCAGTTTGGAACAGGTAGGGGATTTCTACCAATAACAATTATTTATGCTTGATTTGCTCATGATTCCACAGCAATGTTGATAAAAGAGGAAGATATATGATTAAATTTACTCTAATGCTCTTGCAAAATGATAGATACATTTTTTTTGTTATCTAGAAGAAATATATTGAAGATTTTTGCATAAAAAAACATTATGTTAACATACTATATTTTAGAACAAAATGATAATATAAATGAGAAAAATAATTTCATAAATACGGTATCTTTGTAATTGTTTTCCTTTTCTAAGTTTTACTCTTTAGATTTTGAGCAACCAAAAGTGTTTGGAAAGAATTAATAGTTTTAAAAGATAAAATGAATTAATAGTTTTATAAGATAAAATGAATTAATAGTTTTATAAGATAAAATGAGTTTTCGTATATATTTTTCTGCTCTAAATTTTTCTCCCTTGTTTTTGTAAGAAAAAGGCACTTCGTTTTGATGATGAATAATTTTAAACAGTGGTTTGAAAAGTTTTTGTTTGATTATGGCAATATTTTGCTAGAACTTGAGGATGCCAGGAATGTATATATATTACCATTTAAAACAAGTAATCTTAACTAAATAAAACCTACACGGCGAAAAGACATTCCTTTAAAATTATCGCAAATATCGCTTTAAAAATATCGCTTTCAAATTAAAATGGTAAAAGAAATCATAATTCTGGTTAATAAAGCTAAAATATACCTTATTTAAACTAATCATTTGGTAATTTTTCCGTTCATATCTTAACGATATACCGAAAATTCTGGTTTTTAATATTACAGTTCTTATTACAACACATTTAGTAAAGAAATATAAAAATGAAAAATAAATTCATACAAATATCTGGCTTTTATGCCATGATCTAAAGTATCTTGATAAAATTGCCAAATTTAGCAAATTGCAGAATCTTATCACAAATTATAGAACTATATTTTACTATTATTTTTACCAAATTCATTACCTAAGCGCTTCAGTAAAAATTACCGAGCTTTTTGGTGTCCCCATATATCCAAACACTTGGTATATTTCACCATATTCTGACAGTTTTGGCCATACTTTTTTCTCAGTGGCCATACTTTTTTCTTTTCTTTTTTCATACAGATAAATGAAGAGTTTTATAAGATAAATTAATGAATCTGCTTAAAGCGTGATTTGTAGCCTAATTAAATAAATTAAAGTTCGTTCAGTATTTTTTTTTATATTTAACTCCTAAGGTTTTTAATAATTTATTCAATAAAATTATTTAAAATTGTTTGCACAATACATAAAAAATTAGTTTTCTATATTATACATGTCGAAATAAATTTAATGCAAAAGACAATATACATATTTGAACTGAAGGTATATAAATATATTGTTTGTAACTGTTTATCGTCTCTTATGGATTAAAACTGCTTACCTTTTTAATCATTTACTTAATAAAATTATTTAAAAATATTTAGAAAAATTAGTTTTCTTTTAAAATTATACATAACCAAATAAGTTAAATGCAAAGCACAATATAGTAAAGAATTGAACTGTAGGTAGGTATATAAATATATAATTTTTAACTGTTCATCTTCGATTATGAATTAAAAATAGGCTTACGTTTTTAATAATTCATTCAATAAAATAACTTAAAAATGATTGCACATTACTTAAAAATTTAGTTTTTAAATTATACATAACCAAATAAGTTTAAAGCGAAAGACAATATAGTGCAAAATTGAACTGAAGGTATATAATAATACCATTTTTAACTGTTCATCTAGTACGAATTAAAAACAAAGTACGAATTAAACTGTAGCATAAAATTAAAATCAAAATAAGAACTTTAATAAAAAGATACTTTTCCCGGAAAACTTAAAAAAGAAGAAAGTAAAACAATTTCAAAAAAAGATTCGATATTTCCTATAACAGCTATACCATCTTTATCTAATTTATTTTTAAGCAAAAAACGTTCTAAAGAATAACGGAAGTGGAAGAAGATATCTTAATTTAGTCATAGGTGCTTTTTAATTAAGTGTAAAGAAGGAATATATGCGAAAACTTCTTTGAGAAAAAGCAGTTGAACGCAGTTTTTAATTTTACGTTGCTTCAATATTGAAATAGTGTGTTTTTTTTTTTAATCTTCAAATAGAAAAGATAGCCTCAAGTATTTTTTATGGTAAAATCAATAATGAAATAAAATCCAAATCTTACGAAAAAGAGAAGAAGTTTTAATCTAATCACAATGAAGTTTTAATTTTTAAAATTAATAATTTGTCAAACAGAATTAGGAAGAAAAAAAGCTTTGATGATTGTAAATTTTTTTCAAAACTACGAATTTCGTTTCATGAAAATATTCATTGATAAAATGCTTAATATAAATGCGTTCATCAAATAATATTTCATTTTTTGAAGATAATATATTTTTAAGTAACTGGCCCATTGTTATAATTATTCCCAACTGGGATTTCTTTTTTTTTCAGATTGCAGATAATGTCTGACTTTTGCTTTTTCGTAAACATGCAGTAATTAATTTATCAATTAATTAATTTCTTACATACATCATTAATATAAAAAGTTTTATTTATATGAAATTATAACTTTTTTAAGATGGTTAAACTAACTTATGACACTAACTTTGGAATTAATAAATTTTTAACTCTATTATTCAAAAAACATATTTAACTTTATTATATAAAAATCTATCTATACATTAAATATAATCAACGAAACTGTTATTTTTATTTGTAAGTTTTAATTCCGAACATTCTGTTTCCTTGTAAAATTTGTGATATAGAATTTGTTAAAAAAGTAGAAAAAAATAATAAGTGCCAATATACCGAGTTATTGTAACTTTTTCAATTCAACAACATAATTAAATTTTGAATTGAAATATTTCTGTAAGTTTTCATAAATGCAGTAAATTAAAATATATTATTTAAGCATAAAAATAGCTTCATAGTAAATTAAGATCAATATATTAAGACCTGAGATTAAAAAAACAAGCTTTTAATTACAAAGTAAAACTAACATCCTATGTTTTATGCACGAATAACTATTGTAATAAACTTTATTTGGTGTAAATTAGTGTTTAAGAATTATATGTATATCAAATTAAAGCATTATTCAAAATATAGATATAATTGTTTAAAGTTTCCAAATATTGCATAGATTATTAAGAAAATGCAATAACCTAACTCCATAACGCATTATTTTATTCTTCTTTGATTAAAATTAAAAGCCATGATAATTTTATATCCTGAACGTAACTAAAATCCTTAAAAACTAGCGTTTAAATGAAGAAAAATGAAGCCTGTTTAAAAGAACGTTAACTATTTACGAATTTCATTGATAAAAAAAAGAAAATGCTACTGTAAAATTTTTTACACCTCTTGAACTAAAGACAATACAAAGATATATCGAATTATAAATGTTATTATGGCATTGCTAAACAAAGTTTAGACTAATATCTACTATATATAATTAATATATTTATTTTATGGCTGATTCATCGCATAAATTTATCTTATCTGATATTTTTTAACTTGTTTAAAACTTTATTTCGTAAAAATATATTAAATAACTTTTGACTCTTTAACAACAGCGAAAATATTAAAATATTGAAACAATTTTTAAAGAGAATTCATTTTAATTTATACGCTTAGCGAAAAAAGAAAAAAAAAACTAAACTATCACGCAAACTTATCTTGTTTAACGCTTCGTAACTTTTCTAAAAGTTCATGTCAATTTAAAAAGTTTTCACACTTCAACTGAACATAAAACAATATTATATACAAAATAATAATTGTTAAACAAAATTTATTCTAATATTTACTCTAAAGAAACCTTGCAAAATATCTTAAAAATTTGTGATTTTTCCCGCGGAAAAATATTTTAAAAAGTTTTCCCGTTTTAAGTAAAAGAAATACAAAAGAAATTTTTTTAAAATTTAATATTGCAAACATATCAACTTTTAAATAAGAAGAAATAAATTTATTTGATATAATATAGTACCTGATATCTGTTGTTTTATTTAAATGACCGATGCCGGACCAATGAAGTAACAGGTTTTTCTCCCGGATCCTTTTCCTGGATTGAGTCGACCGTCATCCTACCGGATGTACACAAACCATGACGGAATCTCCGGAACACCTTGGTTTTTAAAGCTTTCACGATCAACCGGTAGTTGCAGTTTTCGGCAATAGGTGTCGCTGGCGACGTACATAATTTCTGAGTTTCTTGTTTATACTTACAGGTATAACTGAGAAGTTCTGATTTAGGAAAGAAATAACTTTTACGCAAGTCGTAAAGTTCCGAACAGCTAGAGTTAATTTAAAATCATGTTTAAGTTCCGATGGAAACTCTAATTTATAACTCAAAATTCTTTTCTGTTTTGAATATTATTAAAAGGGTGTTTTAAAATGTAGAGATGTATTTTAAGAAATTCTGTCTCGAAGCGATTGTAAATGGAGTTTGAGAGATTTTTGAACGAAAAATTTCAAAATGATATTAAGCACATTTTGAACGTAGAATAAATACTTTTATTACAAGGATTTGTTATTGAACACAGTTTCAGGCATTTCATTTGAATTATACATATACAATATATACATGTTATTTCCCTGCGTTTTTGATGTCCCATGGCTTTAAGTAATTTTAATTTATAAAATAAACTTCCAAGTAACATTAAATTTTTAAGCATTTAAATTAATTTACAATACGTTTTTTAGTAAATGTAGGTACAGTATTAAATTAGTATTTTGTCTGATGCAGCTAAACTAGAATATCTTAGTTTTCTTAATTTATTGCCCCTTAATTTATTGCAACTAAACGAACTGTTATTTGAAAATAGTTTTAATTTATTTGATTGTGAAAATTGCGTTTATATGTAACATACAATACAGTTTACCTAATATACAGTTTTTAAATTTATTTCAATAAAAATTAAACCTTTTAATGCTGCTCCAGGATTTTTTTTCTCCCTGTAACCATAATTATTATAATAATTACGGTAACATAATTATAATAAATTAGCATAAATTTAATAATAATAACATAAATTTAATAATGTAAAGAACTATTTCTGTTAAATTGACAAAATGGGTCTCATGAATTATTTCTTTTAAATATGGTTGAGTTATAAATTTTTTTATTATATTTGCTGCATTCTTAGGATATAGAGCTTTAATAAGGTAAAGATGTTTTATTCATTTTCTCCTCTGTTATTAGCATAATTTTTTGAATTTATTATTTTGTAAAATTTTACGTTAAAAATGCATTTTGCCATAAATGTATGCTGCACTGAAGATGTTAGATTTTCTTATCGCAATTCGAGCCAGAATTTCTAACCGTCTAATGGAGCTCTTGGAAAAAGATTAAAGAAAGTAGTTTCATATTTTGCTTATAATGACAGAAATAATATTATTAATCGATAAACTCTGATTGAAAATTAGGTGGTCCTGTCTAGACATGAATTTGAGACATTTATGCAAAAGAGTAAAGAGAAGAAGGCCAGTGTAAGCTGGTGATGAATAATTTTGTTTCATTTTTTGGAAGATAGTTGAAACTGTTTGACACTTTTATGTCTACTTTTATGACAGTACACTTTATTTTTAAGAAGTAAATAATAAAAGAAGGTATATATGGTGAAAACTTTTAATGTACTCTTTACTTGCTACTTTGCGATATTTTTAATTATTGTTTTGAAAAAATAGGATAGATTACGCTATTTATGAATATGCTTAATGTATATTTCAATATCTACTTTTAATTTTCAATTTTTTTAACAGATTAACCGATAATATGCTTTTAAATAACTCCATCGAACTAAGTGAGGACACATTTTTTTGGCTAATATGAATATTCATATTGAGATTCATGTGAAGTAATTACTGATAATTCTAAGGTAATTACTGACACATCACTTATTATGGTTGATGTTTACTAAATTACTCTAAGAAAAAAGGTAGTGTCAAAATTAGTAGAATATGGTAAAATTTACTGTGTTTCCGGCTCTATAGGAACACTAATAATCTCGGTAGTCTTTACTGAAATGCTTTAGTTATGATTTTTATAATATGAATATTCATATTGAGATTCATGTGAAGTAATTACTGATAATTCTAAGGTAATTACTGACACATCACTTATTATGGTTGTTGTTTACTAAATTACTCTAAGAAAAAGGTAGTGTCAAAATTAGTAGAATATGGTAAAATTTACTGTGTTTCCGGCTTTATAGGAACACTAATAATCTCGGTAGTTTTTACTGAAATGCTTTAGTTATGATTTTTATAAAATTAGTATAATGAATGGTTTTATAATTTGTGCTAAAATTTGGTATGTGTGGTTAAATTTGGTGATTTTATTTACCAGAATACAGGAAAACCGGATTTCTAGGAAAACCGTTACCATATGAAAGAAAAATATACTAAATGAATGATTTAAATACCGTATAATTTGGTTTAATTACTAGTGGTTTTTCTTCCCTTTTTTACCGGAAATGTTGCTGTTACACGGTATGGTACTTTTATCAAAAACTTTTCCTCTGTGTATATTCGTAAAGTAATTAAGCTATTTACAATTTTTTAAGTTTACCAGTTTTTATTTTTTCAAAATCATTTTCTTGCTGTACTGAGAAATTAAGTATTGAGAAGGGGTTGTGACTTAAGTGTGGGGGTTGGGCCCAATATTTTGGGATCCCTAGAGTTAAGGGTTTCACCATTTCAATAATTAACTGGATTACGTTCGCAAAGTAATTAGACCATTCACAATTTTTTTAGTGAACTGGTTTTTATTTTTTTAAATTAAATTTATTTTTGCACTGTGAAACTAATTAGGGGGATGACTTAAGTATGAGAGTTGGGCCCAATAGTATGGGAGTTGAGGGATTCACTATTTCAATAAGTCTTACAGTTTTAGCATACACGTGTTTAGTTTCTAAAAATTTATTTTCTAAATTTCTTGAAATTTATGCTTAAACATAATAAAAAATGCAAATAAAAATACAGCTTGTACGTTTTCATATATTTTCAGATCTTAAAATTCGTCCTTTTTGTGAAGAAATAGCGCATTAAAGATAAATATATAATTTTTAATTTAATACAAATGAGATAATAAATTATTTTTTTTTTTAAAAAATAGTTATAAAAATTATATAGGATAGCCAGAAGGAAAGCAAACAGAGATTGTTTATATTTGAAAACATCTTATGTTTTGTGTACTATAAAACATGAAATGAATTCTTTTATTTGAGAAACAAATACAAAAGCTTTTTAGATAACTCTTTGGTGAATGAATATTTTATTATGTTTTCACCAAAGAAAAATAGCTTAAGGTTGTATCTGAAATATTTTTTAAAAATTTTGTATTCGAGTTATGAGTTTGTCTTAGTGTTTTTTTATGTAGTGTGGATGATTTTAAAATAATATGTAAGACCAATCGGAGCTAAAATAATGGATTAAATGTAAAACCTGAAATAATGGGGATAATATAAGCAGATTAAAAAGGACTACCAATATTTTCAGTTATAAAATAGAGTTTGTGACTGGTTTGTAAGAAGTGCGTAATATTATTAAAATCCTTATTAATATATTATAAAAATTTAAAAATATACAGTGAATAACCATATTTATTTAATAGATTTCAAAACTTTTGACTTAGAATGATTAACTCTGTAAAAAATTCCAGATAAAATTACTGTATAAAGTACCGGCATTTAGGATGCCGGTACTTTATGCAGTACGGATAAATATACAATACTTTATACAGTACAGATAAATATACAGTACTTTATACAGTACGGATAAATATACAGTGAATAACCATATTTATTTAATGGATTTCAAAACTTTTGACTTAGAATGATTAACTTCTTATACTGTAAAAAATTCCAGATAAAATTACTGTAGAAAGTATGCCGTTATTTAGGATGCCGTTACCGTGAAATCAATTTTTACAGGAACATAGTACGGAACAATTTCTTACAGTAATAATTACCGTAAAACCACTGAATCACTCTTAATGAAATAAATATTACTGTAAAAATTCACTAATCTTTCATCTGTATTTCGTTTAATTTGAGTCCAATTTCGTCACGAAGTCACGCGATTTGGAAGGGAAAGCGAACATTGAAATATATGACAAAAATGTTTCCTCAACTCGAAACCTAATCGTAGTGCATTTCGGGAGTTTGTTAACTAGAATGACGAAACTAAGATGAGTTGGCTTCGCACCGGGGGAGATACCGGGGTTCGAATCTCACTTCGGGCATGGGTGCAATTTACCTCTCTGGTCAAACTGTTCTTTTGTAGTTTGTAGTTTGATGTTTGAGTGAAATTTTTTTGAAAAAAAATGACAAAATATTTATTTCATTTTGAAGAAATTATTTTCTTTGAAGAAGTGACGATAGTTATTTCGTCACTTTGACGAAATTTTCGGTCTGCGTATATTAGAAAACAGATTAACAGATTCATCAAAAACAAAAAAATTCTTCAGATGTGAGTATCTACTTTATATATATATATATATATATATACACTGGTTATCATAAATTAAGGAAAAANGTACCAAGCCCTCACCAACTGGTCCTGCAATTCCCTCACATTGCGAGGGGGTAGCGTGGCAGCACGTATTTGCTTTTCCAAATACGACTACAAATGCTCTATTGGATTAAGGTCAGGAGAATTTGGGGGCCAAGACATGACTTGAAAGTCACTGGAATGTTCCTCGACGATTCGACCCTTATGACGTCGTGCATTATCCTGTTGGTAAACCCCATCCCCTGCAGGAAAAACTGTTGCAATGAATGGGTGAACCTGGTCTGCAACTATGTTCAACTAGCAACTATGTTCAAGTCAGGGATTGTTCTATGAGGATTATGGATCCTAATGTGCCACATGAAAACATTGTTCCTGGGGGAGCCCATTGTTATAGATGGAGGATGGTCATAATGAATTGGCTCTTCGGTGTATATATATATATAGTTACGATTCTTACTATTGTGTTTATTCACAAATATTACACAATTATTTATTTCTACAATTAAAACTAATATTTTCCGCTGAATAGTTTATAGAATGGTCAAAATTATCCTGATAATTCTCAGTGTAAATTTTCAGATAAGCTTAAC